ACTTGCGCCTCTACAAATAGTTACTCATACTCAGAGATTGGTTTTGAAGTAGAGTACCAGCCTAATGAATTAAGGGCAGTGCGGCCCATCATCATCTATTCAGCACTATGACATTTGACGATTCATCAACTTCGCCGCTCAGCTTTCTAATCTCTCGATTGGTTCTCTTTCTTCTTTGGCGGACCAGCACAGACGACGGACGTTTCATCAGCTGCACTCTCCCCGGCTAAAATAAGTATTTTACCCGATTTAATTGAGCTGTGATTTTGTGATTTTAAATAAATTATTAAATAACGTAGCGGGTCTTGTTTTCTCGCTATCGAATGCAAGTCAACCGCTACATATATATACGTATATGTGGGTTTAGTTTAGCGGATTTTGGGATAATGAGTATTAATCTTTCGAATGAGGTTGGCCCCCTTACTTCTAAAAGAAGTATTCTCAAAAAAAAAAACATTCTTGCTGGCTGGGATGGACAGTATAAATTCTTGCCAAAGTGTCGTCTTTAAAAATATCTGGTTGTCCTTCTACACAACTTCCCCGTTTTCTTCTGTTCCATTTGTTATTTTTCCAAGTATAATAACTTCGCACCTCAGAATACAGTAATGTTCTGGCAAATAAATCCGTTTGGCAAAGTTGGAAAAATGCCGTAAGCGTTGTATTTCTTGGAGCGATAACTTGCTGTAAAATATTTTGTTCAGTCAAGTATATTCTTTGGCCATTTTCTAAATGAACACTGAGCTGTTGAATTGCAGGATGTCGCTGGTGGATAGGGAAACCCAAAACTCGCCAAAAAGCTTTACTGCTGCTTATGTATCTTCCACATTGGTAGGTGGTAACTTCATCGTTTAAATTGGGATTCTGAAGAGCATACATCGTATGAGCCTCAAAAGCTTTTGAAAGTAGTGGACAATAAGGAGCTATCCATCTATTGTCAATATCAACCTCGATACCATTGTTGACTTTGATTTTCGTAGACACTCCACCATGCCCTAGTTTTCTCCTTTTGTACATAAAGTGGATAACCATCTATTCCAGTTTGCGTTTTATTTCCAAACAGTCTCGGATATCTCTTGATACATTTGCCGTTTACCATACATGGAGAATTGACATTAAAATTTCCGCATGGCCCATGTACCATAGTTTTCTTAATGATATGAAATAGAACTGGATCGGTATTGGGATCTGGCAGTTCCGCAGAAATAATTAAGTCAATTTGGTTAGAATGTATTGTGTTGTTAAGCCACAATAGTATATGCGCATGAGGTAGGCCTCGTTTTTGCCACTCTATCGTATACTTATCGCAACGTATTGAGCCAAAGATCATACATTTTTTTATAAGATTCATCATCTTAATTATTTTTTGTCGAAATACTCTTGCTACCAGATCTGGACGATCTTTCGCAGACTGGCCATGGAAGAGTTCTTCTTTTATCTCTTTCCAAGTAGGATTACATGTAAACGTTATTAAAAGATAAGGTTTCCCATAAGTCCTCACATAGGTCATGGCATCTTGGGTCCGTTCATGCATGTATCTAAATATATACATATACGTAGTATTTTTAGTTTTGAGTAAGCAAAAAGTTGCATACAAACATACACTGGGTCATAGATTACGGATCTGTATAACGTTTTTTTTAGATCAGATAATTTTTCTTCAATACTTTCATTTTAAGTTTGCATTGTGAATTAAAAATATCAAACTTTAATAGGGCAGAAATTAAAAAAAAATATAGTGGTTGTAAATTTTTGTTATTAAAGCCTTTTATAAAAAAAATTAAGCTACCAATGAAAAAAACAATGGATAAATAAAAAAGTTGTGAATTCAGAAATGAAATTGCGCCATAATCGTACATGGCGTATGAGTAATTTCCTCCTCATACATATTTCAAACAAAAAAATCAGAGCGCATTTTCATTTGTCCACTTAAAACTTTTATTTATTCCTAAGTTTTCAGTCAATCCGCGACTCTTATTTCATAAATACTGAAATAAAAGTTTTTTTTTGTTAGTCCGAAATACTCAGTAAATAACAGTTATTTTTAACTTTTGTTTAATTCCTCAAAAACTAAAAGTTATTTTTGATTTGTATTTTATTTGTTTCATGGTAACAGTTATCGAAGGTTTTTATAAATAAAATTCAGCAACAAAAATCACTAAATATAACTGTTATATATTAATATAATAACTGTTGAAAATTAGTTCTAAAATTCTGTACTCGGTGAAAAAATAAACCGATAGGTATAAGTCATTTAGTTGTAGAAGATTTTGTTCAGAGTGTTTTCGTCAGTAGCTGTTATTTTTGCTCCCTGATTTCCTTGTAAGTAGTTAAATTCTTTCGTAAAAGAACAGGTCGTAATAAAACAATTTAGTTACCTTTAAATTTCTGCCCTGTTGACGCAAAGGTTAGTTTACATGTTTCGGCATTTTTTTGAGTAAATTTAGAGTCCCTACAGTGTTAATACTATTTTTGGAAAATCTGTGGAAATAGGTAGAAATTTTGATGTTTTTAAATACTGTGGCTCAAATATGAGGTCGGACTTACAATATTCACATTGCATTTCATGTTAATTTTATTCTGTTATTTTTTTGCTAAATTTATACTTTTTTTAAGTTTGAAGCTTTGAGTTATATCGTTTTGGAAGTTTTCTTCTGGGTAACGCAGGAACACAGTTTTATTTGCATACGGGAAAAAACGGACACTACGGTTAGCGAAACAAATCATGCAAAATCAACGAAAATTTTTCGCCACATAAAACCTGCACTTATTTTACAAAAATTGAATGGCATTATAAAAAATCCAAAATTTTTTTAAAACTCAATAAAATATTTGATAACAATTTTTCTAAATTTTTTAGAAAGTTTGAAACCTTGAGTTACGTACATAATTATATGGATTTTCTTGTTTTCTTCTGTGTAACGCACGAACCAAAATTATTTTAATACTTGAAAATAAAAAATTTACCAATATAACAATTTTAAGTTTGATAAAAAATGTTTAAATGTTTGATACTTTGAGTTATTTTTTATTTTTATACAAAAGAAACGAAAATCATTGGAAATTCTCCGCCACTTAAAATTGACAATTTATGATACTAAAATTAAATGAGTTTTAAAACTATGTACACACTGGAAAAAGTTTAAAAAATTCGGATAAAAAATTGAAATTTGGATAACTTGTCCAAATTCTTTAAAAAGTTTGAATCTTTGAGTTATATGATTCAATAATTTGACAATTATTATCATTTAGTATTTAGCCTACTGAGGTTTTAAAATAATCACGTAAGCGTACTTAATTCCTTAATTCATACAAATACAAATGACAATCTCAGGATCACTGATGTTTTTAATATTCAAATTCGCTGAATATAAGCTATATTCAAAAAAGCCTACTGAGATTTGAAAACATTTATGGCATAAACAAACATGCAAATTGAAAAAAATCTAACAAAAAAAATTTAATTGTGATAAAATATTTTTTTTAATTTTTAATAAGATTGAAACTTTGAGTTATATGTTTTTTTCCTGCAAAGCATGAACAACACTTATTTTTATACGGAAGATATATATTATCAAAAGTCATTGGGGACTACCGCCACTTAAAACCCACACTTTGTGATACCAAAATTTAATGGTGCTTAAAACTGCATACTCGAAAAAATTCGGATAAAAAATTTAAAGTTAAAAAAATGTAAATTTTTTAATTGTTTGAAACTTAATGCTATTTATTTTTGGTTATTTATTCCGTGTAACGCGTGAACAACATTTTATTTTTATACCAAATATCGAAAGTCGTTCTGAGTTTTCCACTTCCCCTTTTACAAACTCATTTATATATATCTCACTATAAGCAACTAAAATGAATAAAACTTTCCACGCCTCACAGTGTACGAAATTCGAAATTAGGACGACAAAAATCATAACTTGAAAACTAATGGATATAAAATTATGAATTTTTGCACATATCATTTTCGTGACGAAAAGTACGTTCAGGCAAAAAATTGTATAAATCCGCCCACCGCCACGCCCACTTCCCATAGGAACCACACATTGGAAATGAATGAAAAACCAAAATACACTATTAAATTAGTTTTTTATTAGACAGAATTTTTGCAAATTGACTTAACTCTCATCAAATTCAATATTTAATAATGGGTTTTTAAGCAATTTTAATATATCTGGAGTAATGGCTCCATGCTTGGTCTTGGGAGATTTCCTTAAGATAGAAATGTATGGATCAGACGAAATTAGAAGTCTTTTTAATAAGTCGTTGTTTGTTTGGGTTCGAGAANTATGAGGGAAATAAATTAGGGCATATATGCTTGGTATATTGCTTAAGCAACCGATATTTGTTTGCGGATAAATCTAAATCCAAAATCATAGCTAACGCCTCATCAGGCGAAAGAGCTTCAATCTTATTGCTCGATGTTCTTAACTTTTTAATAGTATTTCCTCTTTCTGGAGATGCGAAAGCAAACTCTTTTACTATTCCTGCTGAGTTTCTCTTCCCGGAAGAGCGCATTTGCATTTCTGCTGCTAAAAGTAATTGACCACTGTCAATGTTTTCAGTAATTTTCTTAGCTTTTCTTTCTTTACTTCTTTGACTGCAATTATCGAAGCTAATTGCAGGTCGACCTCTGGGCTGGCTTTCCTTCACAGCAATATTTGTAAATGAAGAAAAGTCGATTGTACTTGAAAGCCATTTATCATTATCATGCAAAAAGCGAGGTTTTACTCTATACGCTTTTGCCCATTTTCCTTCAAATTTTGAACATAAACGCCAAGAAAAATGTTTNGAGAAAAATGTTTATCAAAATCGATAGTTGTTGTTGATCCGCTGCTAAAATTCATAGTAATAAAGTTACATATTTTATCACATCTATCTTCTTTAAGGTTAGATAACCATACATCAAACAAAATTCTATGCGATATTTTAGAGGCGCTCATACTAAAATTTAATTTTCTCACAAAAGTGCAAGTATGTGCAGAATTTTATTTCTTATTTTTAAAAATAAATATATGTATGTTATATATATGTTCTTTGTTGTGGTGGGTGTTGGTGGAGTCAAAAGATCAGGACCGCTGAAAATTGACTTTTATTAGGAATCACTTGTAAAAACATGCCCTGAGTTTTTCATCTGTAAACAGTTACCTTTACTCAAAACACAAAAATATAAAAAGTTTAACCAGATAATAGCTTAAGTTATCTCCACCGAAAAAATTTTGAAAATATATTTATTACTTTGATAATTATAGGCTTTTAAAAATTGCACTAGTTGCGTTCGCACTAATTGTGTTTTTGTTTGTTTATTTTCCCTACCATTCGCAATACCGCTAGAAGTGTATAAACAAAAAACTTGTCGCATATATGGTATTTCTGGTATATATTGACATTCTTCTTTATAATAGAGTAGCCAGATTTAAAAAAAAAGGAATATTAAAAAACCATTTTTGTCGTCTCAAATTTGAAGATCGAACACTGTGCGCCGCAGGGAAAGCGAGACATAGAATGTTTGACTTCCATTTTTTGAATAATGAAAATAGTTATCGAATTTGAATGTTTCAGACATCGTTGATGCTAAGAATTGCGTTTCATATTTGTGTTAATATTTTCAAATTTCAGTAGGCTATTTTTGAATTTTGAAAACATTTAGCGAATGGATGCTAAAATTTACCATGCAACCAAAGTTCCCGAAATCTTATCGAAATCTTTAGGAATATCTCATTTCTCTAACAATTTTTTTACGAATCTTGAAAGAAAAATAAATGAAGTGGTTGACACGACCTCGTAAAGAAATATCTGTACAAAAAATAAAGAAAATTCTGCAAGAAATTCTTCACATAACAGCATTATTTTCATTGCTTTACCGATTTTCTTCCGAAATTTGGTAAAAGAATCGAAGTGTGCACAGTTTATTTCATTTTAGAAAATTCTGCACAAAATCGGATGAGATCTTTACGAATCTCTGTATAATTCAGATTACGGTGAAAAAATTGTTTGCAGGGTAAATTCTTATTTGCGAATGTATTTATGAATCAAGTACGCTTACGTTAATATTTTTAAATCTCAGTAGGCTATTTTTGAATATTGAAAAATATTTAGCGATTTTAATATGTAAAATAGCATTGATGCTAGGATTTCCATTCAAATTTGCATATGTATGTATGAACCAAGTACGCTTACGTTAATATTTTCAAATCTCAGTAGGCCATTTTTGAATATTGAAAATATTTAGCGAATTTCAATATTTAAAATAGCATTGATGCTAAGATTTACATTCTTTTTATGCGTTCTTTTTTTCCACTTTGTGACATTAAAATTTAATGGGCTTATTGAACTGTGTACTCGAAGAATTTCTAAAATTCAGATTAAAAAATATACATACATATTTTACAAAACTTTGTTACATTGTTGTAAAAATTTTTTTAGTTTTTTAAGAAGTTTGAAGGTATGAGTTTTATCGTTTGGTTTCTATCAAGAAGTATATTTTTTTGAAAAAATCAGCGAAAAAAGTTTTCATGAAAAGCATTGTGAATAAGGGGCAAACAATGACTATTCAATCATATTTGTGTCACTGTACATCATTTTTTAAAATATGACATATTTTTACTAAGCGGGTTTGTTTGAAACTAATTTTTAAAGTTTTGTTGCGCTGAACAGTTTTTGATTAATAAGTTCAGCCTTTTTTTGTATCCAAATTTACAAATGTAAAGAATAAGATTGAAATTTGATACAAAATTAATTCAGACTGCCGTAATAATAATCATTATACATTTCACATACCTTGGACTTCCTGTGAAACTGGATGGTAGAATACACATTTTTCCTACATCAGTTATTTCGGTGTTTTCATTACTAACGCTGTCACTGAGATGTATGTATGAATGAACGCGTAATTCTTTTTGGTGTATTTTTATGTACAAAAGGCGCTCTGCTTCCACCTTTGCATACATATCAACAGCATACCGTTGAAATAAGTCTTGACATCGGTGTAAATGATTGAATTAGTTGTCTCTGACCATAAAAGTGGAGGCGTAGAAATCCATACATGACACTGTTTTGTTCCCTTGTGTTTGGGGAATTCCAAAGAGATAGCCATCTTCGTCATATACGCATTATAATGGATATTGAAGAGGATCGTATGATCGGTGTGTTTCTGTGATTCTTTGTATACTCTTGTCGCGAAGTTCATTGCAGGTTAGTATGTTAAAATTACTACGATGTTCCCCGGCAAGCCGCTTATCCGCGTGTATCACTAACTTTAAATCAGGTGAATTAGACATTTCCATAGCACATTTGAAGCTTCTAACGTAGTTGTTAGTCATGTGGACCATATCTTGCAATTGGATTGTAATGCTACGCTCTATCGCATTTAAATACAGTTCGCAGTTCGGCTTGGTCGTGCATGTTACTTACAAAATATATTTGCAAAAACCGTGGTTTTTGGTTACCCTCCGGTTGAAGCGATCCAATGCTGTGGTAAACTTGACCTTGTACTTTAAATGTCGGCATTAAACCACCTTCGTAAACAATATTTGCCCCAAATTACGTCATTTGAAATGCCGAGTTATAGTTTCGAATACATTTTAGAAATGCTTTTGATTCGGAAGTGGTCCCTAGCAGTAACGTGTTTAATGGGTTCGGTGACTCAGCTAGAAGTGGTAGGGATACCTTTCCATTTGAGCAACACATGCTAGGGGTTTCACCTTTCCACTTCTTCGCTTTACAGTGCTGGCACTCATCCGACATTGGGCCAATATTAGTAACATCTAATGAAGAGTAACTGATGCTCGCTGAATAATTATATGCACCGTACTTCAAGTTATTTAAATTAAACGTGCGTTCCCTGCGTGCAGAGTTTCTTGCTGCATTGGACTGCAAGCGGGCCTGTCGCTCCCCTTCTTCTTCCTGCTGTCTTCGCGCAGAGTTTCTTGCTGCATTGGACTGCAAGCGGGCATGTCGTTCCTCTTCGTCTTCCTGCTGTCTTCGCGCAGAGCTTCTTGTTGCATTGGACTGCAAGCGGGCATGTCGCTCCTCTTCGTCTTCCTGCAGTCTTCGAGCAGAGCTTCTTGTTGCATTGGACTGCAAGCGGGCATGTCGCTCCTCTTCGTCTTCCTGCTGTCTTCGCGCAGAGTTTCTTGCTGCATTGGACTGCAAGCGGGCCTGCCGCTCCTCTTCGTCTTCCTGCTGTCTTCGCGCAAAGCTTCTTGTTGCATTGGACTGCAAGCGGGCATGTCGCTCCTCTTCGTCTTCCTGCAGTCTTCGCGCAGAGTTTCTTTCTGCATTGGACTGAAGCGGGCCTGTCGCTCTTCTTCGTCTTCCTGCTGCTTTTGCGCAGAGTTTCTTGCTGCATTGGATTGCAAGCGGGCATGTCTCTCCTCTTCGTCTTCCTGCTGTCTTCGCGCAGAGTTTCTTGCTGCATTGGATTGCAAGCGGGCATGTCTCTCCTCTTCGTCTTCCTGCTGTCTTCGCGCAGAGTTTCTTGCTGCATTAGACTGCAAGCGGGCTCGGCGTTCTTCCCCAGTTTCTCCAGCTCTTTGACGCTTTTGCCTGATTGCTTTTAATGAATGTGCCAATATATTTCTTCGCCTCCTCGAAGGCATATTCAAGCAACCGTTTGTGAAAATGTTTAAGTATTTAAGTCAAAATATATACGGAAATCTTTATATCACTGTTTTGAGTATCTAAAGTCATGTGAAAAATAAAAGGTACAAGATTTTTTGACCAGTTATAGATATATGTCTTTTGTCTGTTTAACGTTTATAATTCTTTTATAAAAATGTAGTTCATTACCTAACGAAAACTACGAGTCTAAATTTTAAACTTTGTAGAAAAATTTCCACAACAAACTTTTTATTCAGACTTTTTAAAAAAATTCTAAGTATGCAGTTTTATAGCCCATTAAGTTTTATCTTAACAAAATACAAATTTCAAGTGGCAATGAATTCGCATTTATTTTTGATAATTTTTTTTTTGCCGATGGTGTTATTACTTTCTATCATAGAAAAAAAATTGTCAAACAACCATAACCGTCAGCAAAAAAGATATAAAAAATCAACGCTATTTCAAACTTGCATTTTATTAAGCTAGAATTTAATGGGCTTCAAATTTTTCTTCAAAGTGTGAAATTTAGAATTATATGATTTTTGATGGATAATAAATGACCTGCAATTTTATAAAAAAAAATTACAAATAAAAGAAAAAATAGTCAAAAATGGGGAATACTTCGCGAAACTACTATTTCACACATGACTATATTTAAGTTTTTTGCTGTAACAAATTCTAAACATATTGTGCTCTCACTCTTCTTCACTTTATTGTCTTATGCACTGAAGTTCTTTTACTATTTAAAAAATCTTTTATAGAACTATTTGAAAGAAATCTGCTGATTCCTTTTTAAATACACAGATGAACACACAACACTTTATTGGCAAACTGAGGCTGGCAGTCTTTACATCAACATCTGCTTTGAATGTGCACATATATTTCTTTCCTACCTCGGAGGCATATTTACCCAACCGTTTATAAAAATGTTGAGTACTTAAATTTCTTTGATTTTTAAAGGCACATTAAACTCTTTTGGAGCAAATTAGGTCAATAAAACCAAATATTTTGAAGTACAACTTTTTTAAATTTACTGTTCTAAGCATTGATAAAAAATTTGCTTACTGAATTATTTTAAAGTTAAAGTTATCTATGTACTTTTAAAATTCGCAAATGTATACACATAATTTTTTGGCGAAGTCGGCTAACAGATAGACATATATAACTTTGGAATTTCAATATGCTATGTATTTTCAACAGAAACTGTAAAAAAATGGCGAAACCCGTAACAATGTGAAATTAGATTCTCTACATATTTGCATTTAATCGAGTCTAATACTAGGAGACTGATTGTGGTTCCCCCAAAGAAGTCTATATTTGTATCAAGATTTTCGAGGGATACTTCCGAGAACGATATAAAGTTTTACATCTCGTCCAAAGTTAACAAGTTTTTAACGAAAAATGCAAAATAAGCTTGCAAATCGCAGAAATCCAAAAAAACTTAAATCCAAGATGGCGGAATGTTGCCGAATGAAATTTAGGGGCAAGATAATGAATCCATGATCTACGTGTTAAATCGAAGTAAACTGCATCAAAAAATGGTTAAACATTTTTTTAAAGAAAAATTTTAATTTTACTGGCTATATTAAAGTAAATTATCAATACATACATACGTTCCCAAATGTGAATGTAAATCTTAGCATCAATGCTATTTTAAAAATACGAACTCGCTGAATAATTTGAATATTCAAAAACACACTACTGAGCTTTGAAAATATTAATGTAAACGTTATTAATACATACCTACATATATTCGAAAATACGAATTTAAATCTTAGCTTCGATGTTACTTTAAAAATTCAAATTCGCTAAATAATTTGAATATTCAAAAGCAGCCTACTGAGATTTGAAAATAATAACGTAAACGTTATTAAATCATACATACATTCGCAAATATGAATGTATGTAAATCTTTGCATCAATGCTATTTTAAAAATTCAAATTCGCTAAATAATTTGAATATTCAAAAGCAGCCTACTGAGATTTGAAAATATTAACGTAAACGTTATTAATACATACATACTTCCGCAAATATGAATGTAAATCTTAAGTTGCGTTCCCTAACTGGCAAGAAGTTGCAAGAATTTACAGGATTTTACCAGAAAGCGTTCCCGTACTCGGGTTCTCTGGCAAAGTAGGGGAAAAATGGGAGAGTAAAATCGGTCCTCTCTTTGTAAGAAGTTGCAAGATTTTACCCGAAGAATTTTTGCTGGTAAAATCTGGTAAAATGTCAAACCACCAGCTGTTCAAATGATTTCAAATTTTAATAAGCAAAAACAAAAGTGCATCTGCATTTTCACCTTATTAAATATATCCTCGCGAAGAAATATCAAGTTTTGTAAGAATTTTTGTTAATTTGCTGGTGTATTTGAGCAAAATTTAGAAGATCGCCAAAAGATAAAAAACTGCTATGTAGTTTTACCAGTTTTTACCCGAAAAGCGTTCCCGTACTTTTTGGTTTTTCTCTCTTACTCTGAGAGCAATTTTGCTTTTTGGCAGTTTTACAGGTTTTATCCAGAAAAGCTGAGGAACCAAACTTTAGCATCAAAGCTATTTCAAATATTCGAATTCGCTAAATATTTTCAATACTCAAAAACAGCCCACTGAGATTTAAAAATATTAACGTAAATTATTAATACATACATACATATTTACGTTCCCAAATATGAATGTCAATCTTAGCATCAATGCTATTTTAAAAATTCTAATTCGCTAAATAATTTGAATATTCAAAAACACACTACTGAGCTTTGAAAATATTAACGTAAACGTTATTAATACATACATACATACTGTTTAGACCATCAGTCTAAATATGCCCACAAAATAATGTCCGGCCCTAATATTCTGACACATTAGGGATCCGCCCTAATGTAGGCATATGTAGACACAAATACATACATATACATATACGCGCTAACACTAATATTCCGGCCGTTAACTATTATATCCCGCCGGACAGTGAACTTTCGTTAAGTTTCCCCTTGAAGCGGTAGCTAACTGTCCGGCGGTCTAANTTACTTCACTTCTTTTTGGAAGATCAAAGCGGAAGCATCGCAGCTACCAGGCTTCTTCACCACAGGTAATCTCATTGTCACGAGAAGCGAATATTCTTAGTAGTTTAAATAATTTGACGCCAATAAATATTAGAAAATACTAATCTAATTGCGTTTTATATCTTTTTTATTATCTTCAATAAAACCACGGGTGCGCTCAATCGAAATCCCTGCGGCGCAACTGGGTCTCTTCATGGTCCATCGGAACCGAGATTTTTAATACAGTCCACATTTAAAGTACCAGCACAACACACTGAGCTTAAACAACGAGCGATTTTTGTTAACCACATCAGCAACCACCGCTTTTTATAACACCAACGCTTTTTATCCCTGCGCCAGCGTTATTGCCAGTGATTCAGTCAGCTGTGCCACAAACCAGCCAACCGGCAACTACAGCACCAACAAACGCAAACACAACCTCACTCAGCTTTCTTGCTACGACACCTGCTAAATTTGCCAGGACACCAGCGAGCATACAACACTACAACCACCAAACACCAATCACTTCTAATTCAAGGTACGTGGTTATAATTTCAATTGCACTTGTTAGAAAATTGCCAAAAAAAAAAAAATAAAGTTTTTAAATTCAATGCGCGTGTGCAAACTAGAATCTCGCGAGTGTTTTAAACTGAAAATATACAATTGGAGCATTTAATTTTGAAACCACACTGTAAATAATTGAGGTTAGTCTGTCCGTCCACAAGTGACAATAGCGATAACAATTAGGTGTTCTTGCAATATTAACATTTTTTTGTTTTTAGGCTAGGAGCCTTTCAGGCAAGCGTGAGCAAGTTCACCTGCCAAATGTGCCAAACTAATGAGCACAAGTTACGCAACTGTCCACAATTCCTCAACAAAACACCTGCTGATAGAATCGATTTTTTGAAAAGCAAAAAATGGTGCCTGAACTGTCTTAGTACTGGACATACCGTGTCAAGATGCACAAACCCATTTAATTGTATAAAGTGCCACTCGCGACACAACACGCTCCTTCATATTGAGACAGCTCAAACAAAGGCAACGACACTTGGGACCTCTTTGGATTCTGCGACTAATTCTGCATCAACATCCAATCAGGCCGAAGCCAAACGCAATTCAACAAAGTCAAACAAGCATACAAGCAAAACGTGAAGTCTTGCTATGCGAATACAAACACAGGTGTGTTATTAGGGACAGCACACGTCAACATTTATCTCAATGGTACGAACTATTCCGCTAGAGCACTTATTGATTCTGGTTCAGAGTGTTCTTTCATCACTGAAAGACTAAAACGCAGAATTCGCCTGCCGTCAAAGCGTATGCATGCCCAAGTTTCGAGCATCACTAATACAACTACGGCGCAGGTTAAAGAAGCGTGCAACATCGAATTGCCGTCTTCTGTTGACCCATTGTTCCGCTTAAATACCACAGTGCTCGTGCTAGCACAACTGACTGGAAATCTTCCGACTTGCCACATTAGTGCAGTGACTAAGCAAGCTATTCCAGATCTGATTCTAGCGGATAAACGATTTTTCGTCAATGAACCCGTAGACCTTGTTCTGGGTGGCGACATATATCCACAAATTATTATGAGCGGGCTTAAGAAGAATATATTAAACACACTTCTAGCCCAAGAAACAGTATTTGGCTGGATAATAACGGGGCGAACTGATACCACGAATCCAGGAACGAATATCGTCTCATACTACAGCGAAGTTAGTCTGGACAAGCAACTGAGTGCCTTTTGGGAGCTGGAGGAGATTCCAAAGAACAAGAGCCTTAATGAAGACGACAAGTACTACGAGGAGCTGTATCAGAAGACAACCATACGAAATAATGAAGGAAAATACATCGTGTCACTACCATTTAGGAGAGATTTTCCAGGAAATATTTCCCTAGGCCCATCACTTAAAAGAGCATGTTCTCAATTTTACCGGAATGAGACACGGCTGGCCAAGGATCCC